TTAATGGTATTAAAATAAATATTAACTTTTATAATTTTTTATGTAAATTAGGGCATAGGTTAAGATGTGTAATTAATGCACTACAATTAATTTGTATGAAAAATGTAAGTGTTGATTTTAAATTAATCAATTAATCAACTAAAATCATTCATGTGTCAATGGTGTTAAAATAAATATAAACTTTTATAATTTTTTATGTTAATTAATTGCTAAAAAATATGTTTATTGCACCTAAAGACACAAATTAAATAATTCCATCTAAATTTTAAAAAACTATTTTTTTTTCTTTTCTCCACCACTTAGAACAAACTATTTCTAATTGTAAAATAGATTAAAATCTCTTTCTTTGTAAAATGGGTCTGAAATGCATAGGTCTAAGGAAATGGACAAATTATTTTACTGGTTTCATTCTGATTTTTTTTTTTACCAAAATATTTACAATGATTCTACCAAAAATTTAAAATCTATACAGTTGAACATTGAAGAAAAAAAAAAGGAGCAATGTAAATTGATTTTGATCTCTCACCGTACCAGACTGATTTCAATTGGGGAAACAATTAATGGGGGAGCAGAAGAAAAAAAAAAAAACAATAGGGGTATTGTTATCCAAAATAAATCCGGATTCTTAAGAGACTTGAATTTAAATTAGGGAAATGATTGGTACACTCAATATTTCAACATCTGGTTCAACACCCTCCGATTTAATAATTAAAAATATAATATAAATACAATCAATTCAATCAGTTTCTGTACCTTGTGTGCATGATTGTATCATTATACTTATCTGTTTTTAATTTCAGATTAAAAAATAATGATTTTTTAATGACTAAACCGGAAGGTGTTGAATCAGATGTTGAAATATTGAGTATACCAATCACTGTACTTTAAATTATTGTTAGATTTAGGATTTGTTAGAATCTCGGATGAGTTCGCATTTGTAAGGATCTCTGATAAGTTAGGATTTTGGTATAGAGAGTTTTAAAAACCTTTGAAGAAATAGCCAGGGAGATGAAAAAAAAACTCTCTTTTTAATCCTAATAATATATTTCAATCTATGTACCTCTCCTACCACGAATGAAATCCTGATTCCTCTGTTAGATTTCCTTTTTGAGTTATTTTTCAATAATAACAGAAATAGAAGAAAGAAGGCAAATAGAGACGGGTGACAGGAAAAAAGTTCTACATGGTACAACTAAATAAGGGCATTTAATCTGAATAAAAAAGATAAGGTTTAGATATATAAAAGTTTTACATATTATATTTACATAAAATTTTGATTATTTATTTTTTTACTTTCAATTGTTCATATTTCTTAAGAACTTTTTAGGTAAAAAATAATTATTTTTAATAAATATAAAAAATAAATTTCAATTATTAAAATTGAAAAGATAAATAATTAAAATTTTATATAAATATAATTTAAAATTTATGTGTAAATAAATTTTTATTTTTAAAAATATAAAAATAAAAAACCCATAATTAAAACAACCACTCAACATATAGAAGATACCACTTTAATTACGTTTTCATACCATAGAAAATTCCAACTAAGAAAAGGGAAGACGGTACTTTCGAGTCTTTGGTTCCCTTGTTGGGAAATTCCATCTAGATAAGGGAAGAGAGAATTTTGAGCCTTTGGTTCCGTTGTTGAAAATTCATCTTTGTTGACACTTGACAATGACTGAATACCATGGTTATTGACACTGAACTGTATTGATTGGTATAGTTGATACGTACCGATCGATACAATTAGTACGTATCGATTTTTGTATTAAATCAAAACGGTACATAATCAAATTTCATTTCAATCAAATTTCATTTCAATCAAATATCATTTGTTTTGGTCAAATTTCAGTGTGTTGGCCGGTATTTTGATGTATTGGCTGGTACACAAAAATTATCTGGTACAACTCAATTCAAATTTTAAAAGGATAAATTCCCTTTTTGGTCCTCAACTTTAATATTTTACATACTTTTCATCTTTTAACTTTTTTATGTACTTTTTTAGTCCATTCTTCATATTTTTTTAGTATTATCAATTACTCCGTTAAGTTTGTCTAAATATACATATTTTTAGTCCCTTAATTTATAGTGGATGGATGAAAAATATATATATTAGAAGTTGAGGGACTAGAAATGATCATTTTAAACTTGTTTTTAATTTATAAGAATATGATGGTTTTAAACATTAGTATAATTATATTATTTTAAATTTTGATATTTAATTTATAAAAATATATATTTATAGCAATAAATCTAAAATGGTACATGAAAAATTTTGGTATCCGATACGTACCGTTCCAATAACAAAATCGGTACTACTGGTACGGTATTGACAACTTTGTTGAATATTTTTCTCTACCCCCAATGCCACTCCGAAACAACATCTTGTTCCAAAAAAATGAATGACAACTTGTTAATATATAATCATAATTCATAACAATGGTTATACAAATCTTAAACTTCTATTAATCTATTTTACTTGTTACATTTTTTAAAAGAAGATAATTTAGATTGTT